AGAGTCTCAAACATGACCTGATTCTAGAAAGTTGGCAGCTGAGTTCCTAATCTTAGGATTTCTACCTTTGAAGAAGTGTTTTCCAGGTTTTAACACCTGTTCCTCCCATACTCTTCAGCCTTGCCTTCTGTCCTTATAGTCACTTTTTGGAGGTCAAGCCAATACCTTTAAGCCTTTAGTTTGATTCCAATGTATGGTGTTTACTTTATCTTTGGAATGAAAATAAACTGGACTTTCTGAAAGACATTTCTTAAATTGTCTTTGTACTAACACCAACATAAATTAAAATAAAAGAGTTGAAAATAAATCCTAATGTTTTTTCTTTTGTTCATTTTTGATAACCTGTTCCTGAATAACATAAAAAGCTTAGGAATAGAGTCTAATATATTTTGATATATTATGGAGGCAGTTTCCAACTTTGGAAATAACCTTAATGCATTTCAGTCTTGCACATAGACTCATTACAAAACTTCTGTGTGCTGGGGAGGGAGGGTTTCTTGTGGTTATGATATATTTGCATAAACATGCAGCTACCATTACCTATTTAATGATTTGTTCAACCCTGGACTTTAAATAATAAATGGCTGCGGGTGATAAAGGACAATTTTAATGGGACTAAGTCTCCTGTTTGGGACAGTGGGTTTTAACCTGTTTTAGGTACTGGAATTATTTTGTAAATCTGAAAAAGGCATTGGTCCTGTCTGCAAATAGGATGCACATACAAGCTGTTGTAGATGAAGGAGGGGATTTAGAGACAATTCCACACACCTCCCACACCAACTGCCTGTTCATCTATGGATGACTTGGTTTTAAGTTTGTGATTTTGGAGCTCAACTATACAGTTAAATAGGTCCATGCTTTCAGTTCTTAAGTCATTCATTCATGAGCTGTTAAGTTCTAAGGCATAGTAGAATCTGGTTTTTAGCTCTTTATGGATGATAGTCTTGTATAACAAATTTAAGAGTCTGTTTTCATCATGAAATGAGAAGTGTGATTCATGTGTTATGTTTCTAGCTTCCACTTTTTTTAAATACATTTTTTAGTTGTAGATAGACACAGTACCTTCATTTATTTTTATGTGGTGCTCAGGATTGAACTCAGTGCTTCACACCTGAGGAAGAGTGCTCTACCACTAAACCATAACCCCAGCCCTCTAACTTACACTTTTTAAAAATTTTGGTGGTGCTGGGAATTGAACCCAGGACCTCATGCTGCTCGACAAGCACTGTACCACTGAATTACAACCCCAACCATAATTTACACTGTTTAAAGATTTAGAATTTATTTGGTGTGTCCCAAGAGGAATAACAGCAACTATCTAGTTTATCATCCATATTTCTTTTACTTCAATACAACTTTTAATTTACCTTTACATTTTTTATAGTTACACAGCTTTCAGTTGTCTTTCCACCTAAATCTTTTTATTATAAACTTTTTCTGTGCTTCCATATTGCTATAATCTTTAATGCTGCATGCACCATAATTCACTGAGTTGATGTATGTGTGTAATGCAGGATTAAAAGGTTATTCCAATTTTATGTTTTATGTTGTAATTTTGTGTTGCAAATGACAACTTTAAGTGGCCTTTTCAGTCTTGTTTTAGATTAGTTTCTTAGGGTGGATTCTCAAGGATGGAAGGTAATGACTCATTTGTTTCATGGCATTTTCTGAAGCACCTACCATGATGTCCCAGGCTGGACCAAAGGTTTGGCCATTTACTTGATACTTGATATGCTTTGTTATTCTTTCCCATTGGTAAAAGAGGTCTTCTTTACCAGTGTAGTCAGCTCCGAATTGTCTCACCTGGTGAATGTTTACAAATAAATATAGTAAAGCATGGCAGGGAAGTTCCAGCTAAAGAAATAGCTGTGTGTCTCTATACCTGCTGTTAAAATTATTTACACAACCTGGTCTCCTTTTGATGTGATAGCTGAGAGATGAAACTTTGATCAAATCAGACTGTACAAACTTAAATACCCTTATAATTAACCTAGATTTATTAAAATCATTTAGAAAACTTTAAATTGAAATTTAAAGTTTTAAAGCAAAATCACAATACACAATTTTATTAATATATATGAAATTTTATTTTGTGAATATTTGTTGAATGCCAAGTATAAGGGGAAAAAATGTGTTGCATATTCATGGTCAGTTCTTCATGAGTAAGAAGAGATGGATAAGTAAACAAGTAGTTGCTACCACCCATGCTGAGCACTGTCACTGTGTTTGTATGTCCAAGGGTACTTTCTTGGTCTTTTACCCAGATTTTTCAGTATAGAAAAGTTTCCCCCCCTGCCATGGTTTACTATCATGCATTGGGGGAAAAAAAAAAAAAAAAAAAAAGGGTTAAAGAGTACAGTACATCTAAATTACTTGGGATGAAAACTCAGTTTTTGAAATACATGTATAGTTTAATGAGGATTCAAAATTGACTGGTTGAAGGAAGTTGTAGGTGGATGATTATGTGCTATGTCACTGGTTTCTTCACAAACGTAATTTCTAATAATTATTAGAAGGGGCAAAAATAATACAACTGAGCATACTTGCTTCATTAGCCATAGCAAGAATGTAATTTAGTATGATCCTTTTTTTCTCTGTCTTTCAAACTAAAGAGCAAAAACATGTGTCTCCTTATTCACTCTGGGAATCCTGAAAATCTAGGTCCCCAAGTAATTCTGCAGGTTGTTGATTGTAATCTGGGAGCTTAACAGGGGTGCATTGTTTTCTTGGTGTTGAATTGGGGATGCTGGTAGTACATATTTTACAGGGCTATCAAATCCAGTAGCTACTGCTCTGTGTTCACCTTAGCCTCAGAAGCACTGGTTGCTGTTTTCTTCTTCTTAAAGCATTTTCTCTCAGCTCTGGAGACCCCCAAACTCTGGTGCTTCTCCCCCTGCTCCTTTTCATTTGTTGTTCTTGACTCTCCTTCTACCACATTTCTAATTATAGGGTGCTTAAGGGCCCTTTCCTTTCTGTTCCCTCATTTGTCTGTTCCCTGTGGCTTTAGATATTGTCTATATGCTGGTGAATCTTTATGTGCCTCCATCCCTGACTTGTCTAGTTCAGAAGTCCAGATTCATATGTATGGTTGTCTTCTAGATATTGCTGCTTTAATACATCCTTAGATGAAACCTCTGGATCTTTCCATCAAAACAAGCAAGCAAAGAAACCTTTTGCCTTTCCTAGTTCTCTCCACTTTGGGTAAATAGCCTTGAAACTATGACTCATCCTTCATTCTTTTCTTTCCTTCACTTCATGCATCTAAACCTGTAGCAGCTATTACCTCCAGAAATCTATATCATGTTTCCTCTGCTGCTGTCCTATTCTAAACCAACATTATCTCTTGTCACAGCAACAGCCAGCTTGTCACCTTCTTGTTCATTCTATAAATAGCTACTGGAGTGATCTTTTTTTTAAAGCAAAAATCAGATGATGTCATTTATCTATTTTAAGATCTCTACTATTTTCCCATAGCATGTAAAATAAAATCTCATTTTTGGAGCTTACACATCTGAGTTTAGTTTCCATAGCTAGGAAATGGAGGCATTGTGACTTTAACTAGAATATAATTACCACAAGGGGCATGGATTTATTTATTTATTTTTAGTACCAGGGATTGAACCCAGGAACATTTAACCAGTAAGCCATATCCCCAATCCCACTTTAAAAATATTTTTTTTAAACTTTTTTTTGGTGGTGGTAGGTGTACCAGGGATTGAACTCAGGGGCACTTGACCACTGAGCCACATCCCCAGCCCAATTTGGTATTTTATTTAGAAATAGAGTCTCACTGAATTGCTCAGTGCCTCGCTTTTGCTGAGGCTGACCTTGAATTCATGATCCTCCTGTTTCAGCCTCCTGAGCAGCTGGGATTACAGATGTGGGCCATTACACCTGGACAGGCATGAATTTTTTTTTGTCTGCTTCTTTCATGATCATTTTTTCTTGTGCCAAGAACAGTGTGTGCACATAATGGACACTTAATAAATGCTTATTGGGGTGAATAAACACATTCTGCTTATATGGAGCCCCCAGAACTTTTCTTCTTTTCTCTTTCAAAGTATTGTATTATAGCTCAGCATATTTGCATAGCTTAGAAAGTCCATGGAAGACTTCCAGTGCAATGTCTCTTTTTCTTTCACCTTCTATACATATTTCCCCTAATCCCATGGTTTATTTATCAGATCAGAAGATATTTAGGTCATTAGGAGAAGATAGGTTAGTACATAAGATACAAAATAACATGGAAATTAAATAAGCATTTAACTTTAGAAATACAGTTGTAGTAGATATGATAAATTTTTACTCTTTATCACCCTGTTTCAACAGTCATCAATAAACGGCTGTTCTTTGAACAACTAGCATTTAATTTGGACATTGCCGATGGCTAAAGAATGTCTAGTTTTATAGAAGTTTATAGCATAGATCTACTTTATCCTGGGCATCATTACTATTTTGGTAAACCAATCAAGGACAAATTATGTATGATTTTAAGGATATTAGAAATGTCCTGAAATACCTTTTATGATTTGTGTGTCTGTGTGTGCATGTGTGTGTGCATGAGTGCATGCATGTGTATATGTGAATGCCTGGAATTTGATCATTAGCTGAACTATAAATTTGTAAATTGTGAATAAGGCAGAGAAGGAAAGTACTTGTAGCCCATCAACAGTTATTTATATCTTATTATAATGAGGTTAATTAGAAGCATGCTTGATTGCTAAGTAACCAGGAACAGGCTTTGATGGGAAGTCTAGAATCACAGGGACCTGGGATGGGGATTGCTAACTAAGGACAAGTAATATTGTTCAAGAGGGTAGGAAGGTGCTGCACTGAACTTTGCCTTTGAGGCATTTTTAGCTTCAAAATCTGTGGAATGAAATCCCTACTCCAGTTTGATGGTGCTCCCACACCTTGTCATCTGGGTTTCCTTTGGCTGGCCACAAGTAAATCTGCCCAGGAGGTGCTTCCAGCTAACTCTGATGCTTGTTTACTTTTAGGTATCTTGCAATATATTCAGAACTCTCCCTCCTAGTGACAGCAATGAATTTGATCCAGAAGAAGATGAACCTACCCTTGAGGCATCGTGGCCACATTTACAGGTACTTTGAATTATCCTGTGTTTCAAAGGAAAGATCCATTAACTTCTTATTCTGTCGTATTCTTACTGCTTGGCTCCAGTTCACTGAGTTGCAATTTAGTTTGAAAGTTTTCATTGATTTGCATGGGAATTCCTCGAAGGCCTTTGTTCACCAAGAAGTTAAATTAGAATATATTGATGAGAAAACTGAAGAATGCTTTTTGTTTCCCACTTTTCATAATTAGGATATAAACATAATAAAATAATTTTATTGCAGTGCTTTTGTGTGGGCTTCCCCATGTTACAGGTCCAGCCAGTATTTCTTATTCTTTTTTTAGAGCTTATTTGTGATCCTACACACTAGAATTTTAAACATGAACAGAACTGTTTTTACATTAATATTAGTTGTATGTGATTAGTTCACAGAGTACATGTATCATTTTTAGTAGTTAATACCCTGGGGAGTTTGTATGTCTTGTCTTTGTGATAACCACAAATGTGTTTCTTTAGTCCAGAAGGGCAAATCCCAACTGCAATCACTGTTTCTTCGCCAGGTTGTAAGAAGGAGAAACAGCAGAGTGAAAACATGGCCTGTTTTGTTCTGGTGCACTGAGAAGGCCAAGTTGCCCAATCATAATCTTACCCCAGGATGGGTTAGGGGTATCACTATACCTATTTTTCTAGCATCAGCCCCATCTGTATTGTATACCTGGTCATTTTCCAGCTTGTCCTTTCTATGCAGCATTCTCTCAAGGCCATAATTTCTCAAGAGAATAGAATAAGGAGATTTGAATGTATCAAACCCCAAAGTCAAGTTTCTGTCTATCAGAAAGTCTACAGTGGCTGGGGAGACAAATGGCAAGGAGGAACAATATGGAGAGAAGGAGTAGAACCCTGTACATCTTCACCCCTAGGCAGAATTCTCTGCTGCTTTGTAGAAGTGTGCTGATGGTTACTAGTTGACATTTTGGAGAGCTGAGGACTGTGCAGCAGAGAGATGAAGCTTAGATCTAGACATGCTTATGAATTTACATTTTTCCCCACTTGAGAATTTTTTACAAAAATTTACAACTTGGGCCTGTCCTGCTTTGGCAGCTCCTGGTTGCTACAGGTATGTATGTATGCTCTTTCTCCTAATTACACAAGAGCTTTCCGAGCTGTTTTTTACTTAGGCATGTGATATGTATATGTTCCTATTACCAATGCCAAGATTGGTAGATAAATTAGTTAAGACACTGTGGTCGTTCGATTAAAATTTTTTTTAAATATTTTATTTTATTTTATTTATTTGGCACTGAAGATTGAACCCAGGGATGCTTAACCACTGAGCTACATCCTCAGCCCAAGTTTCTTAGGGCCTGGCTAAGTGGCTGAGGCTGCCTTTGAACTTGTGATTCTTCTGCCTCAGCCTCCTGAAATGCTGGAATTACAGGCATGTGCCACTGTGCCCATCAATGTTTTATTTTTTTAAAAGATGCCAGACATACTATTTGTAGTCTAAGATATTTGTAAAATAATTTGTGCATTTCATAGGTATATCCCAGATTGTGACAAAACCCAAAACAAACTCTTTTGAATGGTGGACTTCTTGTTCTGTTGTATTCTTACTGCTTGGCTCCAGTTCATTGAGTTGCAATTTAGTTTGAAAGTTTTAGGTTTTTTTTTTTTTAAAGAAAATCTCCTTGAGGAAGGCCCACATTTTATGGTAGAAAATACACAGAGATCCTCAAAACTTCAACTTACTCTTTTCTCTATATTCCAAAGAAGAGGTCAATTTTGCCATTTAGAAGAGCATTTTGAACACTTTAAATCACCATCACATAGATATAAGTTTCTCCAAAAGTACAATAAAGTTGAATCACTCAGTATTTAGGATAATCCTTCCCTTAGTGAATGACTATTATATGAGACCAAATTAATTTCTCAAGTTATTAAACTAAATTTGCCACCCAGAATTTTAGCCTACACTGTGGGAGTATTAATCATTAGTTCATCTGAAAAAAACCTAAAACCAAAAGCAACATTGAAAGATGGTGATAACAAACCATTTCAAATAGACTAGTTTCATCTATTTTGACACCCTGTTCAAGCCTGTAATCCATCAGGTCCTGCCTTTAGCTCAGGGGGAGGTATGACTGAGTAAGGCTGGATTAACTGAAGGAAATTTACTTTTAAAATTCACAAATTGTCCTTCATTCATAGTAAAGGTCAGGCCAGAAAGCGCACTGTTACCTTCATTTATCTGTTGCTTTGTGGATATCTTTGTGTAGGGTCTGGCATGTCTCAAGAGGCTGGTGTTTCCTTTGTATAGTCTTCCTGCACTGATTAGTCCCGTTTCCAGTTTCGTTGAGAGGTGGTTTTAACTGAGAGAGAGTACTCATTGAAAATTTCAGAAATCTTTTTTTCTATGCACTATAGGTCATTTGTGTCATAGTCACCCATGATTAAATTTAATAGTTTACTTTTTTAAAAAATATCTATTTTCTAGTTACAGGTGGACACGATATCTTTATTTTTAATTTTGTTTTTAAATGTGGTGCTGAGGATCAAACCCAGTGCCTCACACATGCCAGAGGAGCGCTCTACCTCTGAGCTACAACCCCAGCCCCAATAGTTTACTTTTTAATTGATCCAGTAGTCTCTTTTTTCTGACCAAAACATAGCATAATTTTAGATTTTTTTCACTTTTTCTTAACTTCATAATTAGTAATATGCTTCCTCTTCTGGACCATATTTTTTATAAGGAGGCACAGTAAAAATATCTAATAATGGTAGTAGCTAACAACAAAATTACATTGAGATCTAATTATTGGGTGGTTGGCCAGGCTCATTGCCCAGTGACTATTCCTGCATACCTCTTCTTTGTTTTAAATTTGTGGTCCATACAAAATTACTGATAATAAAAAAAAATCATTGATCTTTGGAGATATTTTAAAATATACATAATATTAAATTCACAATTTTTTACTTCGTATATGTCAAGATGTTACTTGATCTCCTATCTGTATTGGTGTCTTTTAAACTCAGTTACCTTGATTATTGTTTATGTGTTTTCTGAAATTAGGTCTGTTTTTCCAGCAGAGTACAATTTTGCAGGACTTCTGTTTGTAATTAAGAAATTGTAGTGCTTTATACTTGTAACTGAAAAATATGGATGCTGAATTCATGTTTAGATTGCTTGGAGATTCCTCTTATGTGACCTTGAAAAGTAATTTATTTCCCATAGTCTTTCCCTTTAGAAACTCAAGGGAGTTTTTTGTTTTTGTTTTTGTTTTTTAACTTTTTAGTTGTATATGGACACAATACATTTTATTTATTTAGTTTTATGTGGTGCTGGAGATCGAGCCCAGGGCTCTATCATTGAGCTACAACCCCAGCCCCTCAAGGGAGATTTCTGATTCCAAGGTTTAATCTCTTTCTTAAATGCACAACACATTTATTTATGCTTATTAATAAATGTGTCTGAAGTGTTTCCACGAAACTATTTTAAGCTACAACTGCTTTCAAGGGACATGAGGGGAGAGCACACTCTGCCATTCCCTCTGGAAACCTTTGCTGGCTAGGTCAGACCTGAAAGATGAGAATTTTTTTTACTTTGTGAGAGTGAAGAGACATTCTGTTTGTAAAGTCAAGTCTGAAGGCACAGGCTGCTGTAGAAAGCATTTAAATCAATGATAATCTGCGGATTCTTAGTGGGGCCTGAGACTTGATTTCCAGCGGACTTCAAGGTCAATACTTGACCTTTTCACTGAGTTGACTATTCATTGTTATGTTTGTAGTATTTGTTGTAAAAGTAATGATGGTTAAGATTGTGGTTGCCTGATCAAGTAGTTATTGTTTTCCTTACTGCCACATATTTCTTGTTTTTTTAAAAAAGCCAATTTCATTTGAGAAAGTCCTTGAAGAAGTAGTAAAAATTGGTAATTTTATTAAATTTTAGCTCTTGAGCATAAACCCTTTGTTTATTTAGTTGTAGTTGGACACAATACCTTTATTTTATTTTTATGTGGTACTGAGGATCGAACCCAGGGCCTTGAACATACTAGAAGATGCTGAGCCACAACCCAGCCCCTTAAAAATTTTTTGTATGATGAAATTGAAATCTACATAAATCACATGAAGTTGGTGGGCTATCTTAAGGAAAGACACTTGGATAATTTTTTGAGCTTCAGGCTGAACTACTGTTTTTTTCATGAAACATCATTTTTATTTGAAGGAGCAGCTATGGTTATTAAGACGGGTGTATTTGATGGATATATTCTCTAAAACAAGGAAACTAGTTGGCAACATTTATTTTCGCTGATAGAATTAGAGCAGTCAAAGTAAAATTTAGAAATAGAATTTCAGAAAATTTGTTTGTCTTATATGTCACTTTGAGTATTACCACTTCCCAAAGTTTAAAGACTGAAGCAAGGGGGATATAATATGATTTCTTTCTTTCTTTTCTTTTTTTTTTTTTAAAAATTAATGAAATGTGAAAGCCTTTGAAAGGTCTGCCTAACTTTGTGAACTGATACTTCCAGTTGGCAAATGAATGTTAGGAAGCCATACATGGATAAAGGAACATTCAAAATGCAAGATAGAGGATTGGATTTTAGTGTAACAAAGTATGAAAAGTTCATTGATAGCATTTCAGATTCCATGTTGCAGCTAATTTTTAAGAAATGAAAATTTGTTGAGTTTTGGTGTAGTATGGGGGGAAATATCCACAGTTTTATGAAAAGACTCAAAGATTCTCCGTTTTTCAGCTTCTAGACTGTTTAAGGGTTGATAGGGTTTTTAAAAAACATTCTTTTACCAAAAAAATACATCACAACAGATTGAACACAGAAGCAGGTGAGAATGTGTCTTTTATTAAGCTAGCCATTAAAGAGATTTGCTAAAATATAAAATAATACTTCTTAATAACTTTTTTTGGAAAATAGTATTGTTCATAAAAACATACTTACATTAACACGTAATGCATTTTATTGTTTTAAAAATCAATATTAAAATTGTCTTTTTCTAATTATATTTAAATATAAAGACTAATTATACACAATTTATACATATATCTCAAATAAAAGCTTTCAGGGGTCCTTGTTACTTATTACTAATGGTAAAGAGTAAGACTGATATATTTGCAAATGCTTTAGGCAATATGAGGGTAAATCTGTGTGTGTTATTCACTCTGCAGAAAGCTTTGTGTGTAATATCACATTTAACCTTAGGGCTTATCACCTTCATTATGAAACTGAAGAAAAGTTTCAGAGAAAGTAACTTGTTTTGGATTACATAGTAAGGAATAGAGTAAGGCTTTTTTAGTTCAGTGTCTGTCTCTTTAAAGCTCTGGTTTTGATATATTGTTGTATAGTATACCAGCATCTAATAGAACTTTTAACATAGATTTGTTACTCAAAGAAAGATAATAAACTATAATTCTTCACTGTTTATCAAAACAGTTATTGGAGGTTTCTTCTTTGCAGCTGAGAATATTCTTATTCTTTATTTAAATGAGAATATTGGTTACACCACCATGTTAATTGGAGGAATGTAAATTGCCTTACATTCTTTGAAGGAAATTTAGCCATAAGTATCAAAAATTCTGAATGTTTGCATATCTTTTGACCTAGCATTTCCACTTTTAGAAATATTTTTACTTGTGAAATAATTGAAGAAGCACACCCTGATATATGTTCTATGATGTACATTATGACATGATTTGATAGAGAGTTCAGAGACTACTTAAATGTCTAAGCATAGAAGATAGGTTAAATTAATTATGAATAATAGAATTATTTATTATAAATTATAATGATCTACTTAAATCTACTAAGAATGATGGTTTAGATATTACTGATATAAATTGTTCATAGTGCATTGTTTAAATGGCAAAAGTAGTTTACTATGTAAAGATATATTTATAGTATATTGATGTGTTGTAGAAGAAGGTTTAAAATTAAAATAACAGTCTCTGAATGGTAAGATTAATGGAGAATTTTTATTTCCTTTTTTTGGCTTTGTTTCCTAATTTTTAACTTTGAAAGGTTTAAAACAAAAACAGAAGGAACTGTGAGCCACAAACCAAACCAAACAAAAAAACCTAGCTTGGCTCATTAATATCCCCCCCCCCAACCCTGTAATGTTTAAGGTGCTATCAGTTATCAGTTCTGGCATAAAAGGCTAGCATTACAGTTTTTAATATTATTCGTATTGAATTATATTATTCTTAGTGAATTATAACTTGAAATTAATATGTTTGTTGCAGCTTGTATATGAATTTTTCATACGATTTTTGGAAAGCCAAGAATTTCAACCCAGCATTGCCAAAAAATACATAGATCAGAAATTTGTATTACAGGTAAGCAAATTCTTATAACTGTGTGTATTTGTTATTCAGTTGTTAATACTTTGTCTCATTTTTTCTTGGATGTTTGTTAAAAAATAACTCACACTAGCATTATATCACCTCATAAACACACACACACACACACACACACACACACACACACACACACATGTAAACATAAATTTGTTACTGTCTATTTAAAGTAATAGGCACCTCAGTTATTTGTGGTAGAAATAAATTACATTTTAAACAGCCTGAAATGCTGATGCCTGTAGTTTTCTTTTTAAAGTTTAATTATAATGGAATTTCAAATATATAATCTTGGTGTGTGTGAATTTTAGGTAGCTTTAAAAACTTTGATTTCTGTAAGGATTCTTAAATAATTGTTGCATAGCTCTGTTAAAACTGAGTAGGAAAACTCAGACTGCAGAGCATAAGTAACTTTTAATAAAAGTTACAAAATGAGAGTTATTAGAGAGTTTTCACTACCAGGAAATTGCTTAGCTTGACACTTTAAAATTTCCCACCAGGATTAACTCCAACCTATCCTTTTGGAAATTCTCAGCGAATGTAGTTTCCCTGACTTCTCATTTTTTGTTTTATAATCATAGACTTTATCTTCCTTCTTAACTGGGACATGGAGTATTTTTGTGGCAATGAATTTTTAGAACCTTCTTGCTCCTCTTGTTGATATTCATCAATAGAAATGGACACTGAAAGAGTAAATATCTCCTAGGGAGCCAATAAACTAACTTCAGATTAAAAACATCAATTTGGCAGAATAAATATATATATAAAATTAAAAAAAAATTTTTTTTAATTTTATATGGTGCTGAGGATTGAACCCAGTGCCTCATGCCCATGAGGCAAGTTCTCTACCACTGAGCTACAATTCCAGCCCAGTTTGGCAGAATATTGATCTCCATTGCCATATGAGGCAAGATAAAGGCTGATACCTCATGATGACTTAATTTTCTTTTCTAATTAAATTAATAAATTTAGAAGTAAGGATAGACAGGTGAGCCATAACTGATATTTTGACTGCTTTTGACATTCAGAACATAGCAGAGTCAGTCACAGGGTTCATTCTATCAGAATGCCAGAGAGCCGAGAGCCATGAAGGCCTCTGTATGCCCTGGGTATGTGGCTCCGTAAAGTTAAACCCTAAGTTCAGATCTCAGCTCAGAACTAAAAAGGAGCTTTGGTGTCTTGCAGGGGAAGAGTGGTCAGGATAACTCATTAGCATCTGTTTACTCATTCTAGGCAGATCATTGGACATTTGAGTATTTTGGCACAGCATTAATGAGTCATGGCTCACAACTTAACATGGAAGGCTTTGGATCTGGCCCATTGATTGTCAATATGTGTTCTCTATCATTGATTGCCAGTATGTGACTAAGTGCTTAGTTCTTTCAACCTTTTTTCATTTGTCAGATTTTGAAGTCTATAACATCTGGATGTCCATTTGTCTTCATGCATGACATGTACCTTTGAACACAATGAATGGAACCTGGTCATGCCAGGACAGCTTAGATCTAGGTTTCCCATTCCCTTGTCTGCTTATCTGGACTCAGTTTCCTCCTTCCCTCCCTTTCTTTCTTTCTTTTTCTTTTTTTTTAAACCAGGGATTGAACCCAGTGGCACTTAACCATTGAGCCACATCCCCATCCCTTTTAAAAATATTTTATTTAGAGACAGGGCCTTGCTAAATTGTCGAGGCTGGCTTTGAGTTTATGAGACTTTCCATTAGCAATTCTTGCTTTGCTTTGCATGACTTTGCCAACTTATGTTAAACTTGTGGTCCTAACTGACTTATAATTGACCTTTGCTGTAAAACTGTTTTCTTGTTACTCAACTTTTTTATTTTTTTTAAAATCTAAGTATAGAACAAGACATATTTCCATGGTATATAATTTCTTTCTAGTCTTTGGAGGTCTTTCTGTATCTTTATTTTGTCATCCACTTTATTTAGTCGTCTTTGTATCTTTACAACATCTTCTTTAAATATACTAACCTTTGCCTCATCTAAGTCATAGATTAAAATTGTTAAACTATCCAAGGCTTATAGAAGCTTTGGACTTGTCTTTAGAAATGCCCTTACTTTAACATAGATTCACTAATCAGTAATCTTTGAATTCTTAAAGTAGTTAGAAATTTACTTCAGTATGTTGTCATCTTTCCTGTGGTACTTAGTTTTGATCATAAGGAGAGCATTTTGTTAGATGCTATGGTAAAAGCCAGGAATTTCTGTTTATAATGTTCCCCCTCATTTATGACTTTATCATAAAAAGGAATGCCATTCATCTGCTATGATGTGAACTCCTAGAGCTACTGCTATTTATTCATGCACTGAGTACTTGCAAACCATGGAATTGTCTGTCTATCCCAGAGTTTTGCCAGAGAGAAGAAATGAAGTACAAATACCATTTATATACTTTACAGTTTCAGTGCCTTCTTCATTTTTTCCAACCTTTGCCTTCTTTATTTCCTTCCACTTCCTTTCTTTACCCTTTAGTCTGCTGACAACTAAACCTGGAATCCAAACACCTTCTAAAAGTGAAGCCTCAATTCCCTATATGGTTCTGAGCTCCCTTCCTATATAGTTTGGTCCTGACTTGGGTCCTGCTAGGATCTTGGAGCTTGAGAGGTTATTGCTGACATTTCATTCTTTTACCCCCATCTTGCCCACATCCCTTCCTTCCTCTTATTTTGTCATCCACTTTATTATATAATTGCCTGTATATTGGCTACTCCTGCCCACTTCTGCGTTCCCAGTTCAAGTTTCTTTTTATGCCCTCACTTTTTCCTTGCTTGTTTCTCCCATGCCACTTGGTCCTAGTGTGTTTTGTACCTGGTTCACTCCTGACATAGAAACACTCATAGTATTTATTTATTTTATATTATTTTTTAGGGGGGCAAATCCAGATGACATTTACCTTTTTCTTTTCTTGGGCCGATTTCTTATATTCTGTAGATCCTCAACAATCTCTAAAGGAGTTTGGTGATTTAAATTTAAAACTTCTTTACTAATATAATATAATCCAGCCATGAGATTTAAACATTTTATGTAGCATCTTGATATATTGTTTGTTTTTTTCCTGACTCTTACCCCACCTGTCATTGAATACAAAAGTTAAAATAAGAATTTAGCTATTTTGTCATGATGTAGTGGAAAATTAGGAAGCTCTGGGTTTGATCTTGAATTCCCTATGTACTATAAGTTTACTTTAGGAGGTAAGACTGTGAACTGTGGGGACAGAAGAAACTACATTTAGGAGCTGGGGATTTGGCTCAGTGGTAGAGTGCTTGCCTAGTATGTGTGAGGCACGGGGTTCAATCCTCAGCCCCACATAAAAATAAATAAAAGTATTATGTCCATATACAACTAAATTTTTTTTAAAAGAGGCTATGTTTAGCCCCTCCCCCTTTTAATATCTACTTGCAGTAAGACTTTCAAGTATGTACACTTGATTACCAAACCTGAGTTTCCTCATTTGTGACGTAGGGGTGGCAGGAAAAAAATAATAATAATATAGGAGGCACTTCAAAGTTGACAACTATTAAGTCTTCTTAGTTCATTTGGCAGTGTGGCTACAAAAATGGGATCCCTACCTTTAGTCTTAAATAGAGTAAAAATCTTGGGCAGATTGTTGATGACTATTCTTGAGACCAACTGTATCCTTTTATAAAATGGTGGTAAAAGTCACCTCTGTTATAAGTCACAAATAAAATAAAATGAGATGACTTGTAAAAATGCTTTTTGGTATCTTGTATGGGCATAGTAGTTACTCATTAAATATTAGTTATTTTCATACTTGTCATATTATCTATCCACATTGACAGAATATCTTATTTTTCTTGCCAATATTAAATTAAAAATCTTGACTTTTTGAAACCTTTTTTTCTTTTTTGGTGCCAAGGATTGAACCTGTGTCCTTGGGTATGCTAAGCATGTGCTTCACCACTAAGCTACATCCCCAGCCTTGAAACAAAATTTAAAAATCCATACAAAACTTACACTAAACTTTTGCAAAGCATGCTTGAATAAATTCACAAATATAACATATTTCTAGATGGGAAAACTTGCCATCATAAAGTTGTCCATATAATCTCCAAGTTAATTATATATTTAGTGCAGTTCTAATTAAAATTCCAGTAGCTTTTTTATTTGAAATTTTTAGAGTTCATGAGATAAATTTTTGAGAAAGATGATTGATGATAGGATACTTTACCTATTAGACAATAAAATAATTCATTTCTCAGCACTACAAAAAATAAAACATACTATGAAGTCACTTAATTAAAACTGTGGTTTTTGAACAGAAAAATGGAGCATAATAGAAGCTTGGGTGGAAGAGTATGCTCTAAAACCCATAAGAAGATGTACTAATAAATAATAGGTGTTATATAGGCAGCAAATTGCTATAAGTTCTGAAGAGGAAACCTGGTAGTATTCTGTCAAAATTAAATTTTGACCCAGCAAGTGCATGAGAAGTATTTAGTTGTATGTACAAAAATAAACATAAATATACTGAATGTATTGTTTTTAATAATTATTATAAAATTGGAAACAATAATTCCTCAGCAGGAGTTAATTGAAAAAACTGGACATTCACACAATGAAATATTCATCAATAAAAAGAATGTGATAGAGTTACACAGTCTTGTTTTTTCTTTTTAATATTTTATTTGTTTTAGTTAGTTACACATGACAGTAAAATGCACTTATATACTT